TAGTACAATAAAGATACCGATAAGTCCAAAGGACACAAAAGGTAAGGGGTTCTACCTTTTTCTGTTGATAGATAAAGTAATATTGCAAAGACTGAACCTTGTAGCATACCGCCATATATTACATCATTAAATGTTCTAACTGTCACAAATTAGAACTATTATGTTTCACTTTCAGTAATTATCATAAAACTGCGTTTGTTTATATTAAACATCTAAACAGTGTACAATTTGTAAAATATTTGTGTTTCCTTGAGCATTACTTATAACTCGATATTTTATAAATATGTTTTAGTGAGCAATACATTTTACAGACGAATGTTAGACTCACACATGTGATAGCACCTTTAAAATTTCGTTATAGAGTATATCAACAATGAATTACGCTGCACCAATCAGCTGTTTCGTCCATTTAGGATTCAACAGTGATGCTAGGTGCTAAACGGTAAGATATCCGAAGGTTTTGTCTTAACTACTGTTGCAACCGAAGGGGATGTGAATGAAACATTTTAATAATAGGAAATTTAAATGTACAGGAATGTTTGTACTGTCTGTGCTAACAAATCCGATCTTCTTCCTTGTTGATTACATTTATATTGCCTCGCTAACAATACATTAACAATTCAACGAAATCTTATTACTGTAATTTTTTAAAGCCCTATGTTTTACGAATTTCAAAATATTTCAGAGTAGTAATGGGAAATTTATAATCACATTAAGATTACAATTTGTCAGTTTATCACTAATTTTATTTATATACCCACCGAAATAAAATGGTCGAAAGAGGAACATATCTTTTTTTTAAGTTGGCCTGAATTTATCAGCAATAACAAAGTGCAGTTGTTGAAATTAAAATCAACTTAACGACAGACAAGCACCAAATGGTATATTGATTTGCAATAAAAAAAAAAGAATCACTAAACAATGCATAAATTAACATTCTAAATTACAATTTTTATCAATGGAAATACTTAAAACGTGTCGATATGGTTTGAATTCATTGTTTTCCTCGAAAATCAATTAAAATATACTGCATTAACATGATGTTAAGCTGATGTGGGAAATCAAAAATTTGACCTTAAAACTTTATATATCAAGATTTGATTATCTATTCCAGATAGAAAGCCCACGGTCGAGTCTGAACCACGTAAGCATAGGCAGCTTGAATAAATATTTCAAATATTCATGAATTAGTTTTTTTCATCAATAAGAAGATGGGTTGTTTATAAACATTTGTTTCAGGTTAGTAAGTATGGGTTGTGGCAAGATTCCTGTAACACAACACAAAGGTGTGTATATGTGATATTCTATTACAAGGACGGTATGTACTCTGTCACCTTATTCAGGCAAATGACCAATGACAAAGTTGTAAAATATGTACGAGTTGTCCACTCAAATCGAATGGTAGATTTGTCAGGATCATCGAACAAGAGTCTTTACAATCAAATGATGTTATTAATGCAGTTAAATGTCATGACTTGATTTCAAATAATAATTTGTTTTATATATATTAATATCTCAGACATAACAGTTAGTTATAAACGATGTTAGGCTAGGCCTAGCAACTTTTCAAAAGTCTACGTGTGCCAAGACCTTGCCTGCTACATAAAACGCATGATCCATCGTTTTGTTTTGTGAATGTTGTGCAAAAAACATGTAAAAAGTCTTGACAATATTCGAACAATCTTTAAATGTAAGTGTATCAGACATATTTTATTTAAATTAAAATTATAAGACATGGTGAACATTTTCTGTAGTCTCTAGAATTTATCTGAAATACTACAAAATGAACAGAATTGTCTAGTCCTTACCACTTATTGAAAAAACGAGCTCTTATTATTTTTCGCACAACAGATATTGCTATAGTAACAAGCAGCGTACAGCATAAATGGGTTATCATAAATATCAAGAGTGACGTCCTTATGTGTAAAACTAGACAAAAATCTACTAAAACAACGTTTTCTAAAAACATTGATTAATCTAGTCACCAATTCATTGATTTAGTTTTATTGTTGAGCAAGGCTTAAATTGATCGTTCTTAGCCCTATCCGGATATATTTGGTCATTTCGTTCATTTAGAGCTTGATCGTGTTAACAAAGGCCAAATGAATAGAAACAACACGTCCAATGTGTTCCAAAACATATGTTTAATAAAGCAAAATAGGAGTTACGTAACAAACCCGTTTAACGATAAAAATAAACAACTTTATGCTACAACTGTTTATTCTCAATCCCCACATCGGGGACAATTCATATCCGGATATGCACAACCGCATACACACAACATATATCGTCACATGGAAACTTTCCGGAATCCGCCATCCGGCATTCCGTATTTTGCTTATCTAGCACGAGTGTCAATAAACCCACTCCGATTTTTGAACCGTTTCCAATTCACAGCCAGAATAACATTCACAGACCAAACCTGTCGGGGTTTCTACATTAGTTCTCCGTATGTGTTTCCTCTTTTAGCTGACACCGTGTTTAATTTAAAAAGAACTTAATAAGTTAATTACAAAAATTGGTTTTCACAAAGACGAGATATGTGAGGGTTGCGACTATTACAGGATTGTACATTCAAGATCCAAACAATTATCATTAAAGTATGTAGGACATCTTTGTTTTTTAAAATAGATTTAATGTATTGAACTTATAATAGAGTAAATGTATTTTACTTATAACAGAGTAACTGATTTTTATTTATTACCGAGTAAATGTATTTTACTTATAACATAATAAATGTATTTTACTTATAACAGAGTAAGTGTATTTTACTTATAACATAGAAGATGAATTTTACTTATAACAGATAAAATGTATTGTTTTATAACACAGGGAGAATGTATTTTACTTATACAGTAATAGAGTAAATACATTTTACTTATAACAGAGAGAATGAATTTTACTTATAACATAGTAAATATATTGTACTTATAACAGAGTAAATGGACTATTCTTATAATATAGTAAATGCATTTTACTTATAACAGACGGAATGTATTTTACTTATAACAGCTATATTAAATATAATGTACTTATAACAGAGTAAATGTACTGTACTTATAATGGGGTAAATGTATTTTACTAATAACAGTAAATATATTGTACTAATAACAGAGTAAATGTACTGCACTTATAATGGGGTAAATGTATTTAATTAATAACAGAGTAAATATATTTTACTTCTAACAGAGAAAACGTATTGTACTTATAACAGAGTAAATGTATTTTACTTATAACAGAGTAACTGCATTTTACTCCTGATAGAGGAAATTTATTTTACTTATAACAACGTAAATGCAGTTTACTTATAACAGAGTAAATGGATTTTACATCAAACAGATACAGTGACGTTTTGTTGTAATTTCAAACGAGACTTACAAATTGCATGCTTGAAGCATCTGGGGTCCGCGGTGGCCAAGTGGTTAAGTCGTATGACATTCTGTTACCAATGGGTTGTGGGTTGGAGGCCTATGTGGGGTAGTCGCAAGGTACTGGCTGTAGGTCGGTGGATTGTCTCCGGGAACTCCGGCTCTCCTCCACCACCAAAAACCTGGCACGTCCTTAAATGACCATAGCTGTTAATAGGACGTAAAACACAATGCTTTAAATAACGGTAGAGGTAAACATACATCCAATAATGGACTATAATCCCACTTGTACGCGAAGAGCTGATAGTTTAACATATTTCTGACATTATTGCATATACTGTATGTATGCTAATATAAATAAAACAGAACTCCGAAGAGTGATTTTCGCAAGTATTTTCCCCTGAAGAGCCCCAAGATGGGCGAAAGTACTAGCGAAATTAAGCTTGTTTTGTTTATAAGTCTACGGTCACATGGACGACTAAAAATAAATATCGCTCTAATTGAGTTATTCTTGCCACCAATAATACAGATGTTTTGATACCGTTATTATATCTACCTATAACCAGTTTTGAATTATTTGTCTGGTAATTTACAGGATTAATAAAAAGTTGATATATTTACAAAAAAGAAAGGAGTGTTAAATCACTCTATAATCGTCATACTTATCATATATATGAAGTAAATATACATACATTAAATTATGTACGTTATACAAATGATACATTCACTATTCGCAAATATCTACCGCGATAGTTGATAGTTTGTGTATGTTAATGTGAGTCGTGTTATCTACATGTAACACACACGGGGGTTATATCCCTTGCCGTGAAATATTGTATGTATCAACGCATGAAAGATCAACACAGCATAGTGGAATGTTCACCCGATAATCTGTTTTATTAGTACATGATACGATCGAGTTGTTCCCCCTTACCAAGTGTTGTAACCCGAAACCGTACTAGTATCGTTCAACCGGACGCTTGATCACTTGTTATTCAAGAGTCTTGTCAACGTCATTAAGCATTTCAATTAATAATGAAATTTATGAAAAAAAACTCTTATACAGGCATTCCTGAAGTACCCGTGTATTCACTAGTATCGAGAACAATGTAAGAAAATGTGTCAAATCTCCAGAATAATGCCATACATTTCCACTGAATAAATCATAACTGAGCACAAAGCCAACAAGGCAGATTGAAGTTGATAAAAGCATGCAAAGCAAGTGAGATTTTACCTGTACACCATTCAAAACACTTACAAGTTCTCACTCAGGTAATCTTGCTTGACTTGTATCAATGAATTATTGTAAAATATCCAATGAAAATACATGAAATCATTCTTTTTGTAGCATTTTCTTACATTTTTCTCGTTAACAGTGAAATCATGGATACTTCAGGAATGCATGTACATTTTTTTATGAATTAAAATATTCAATGAAATTTTGCGACACTCAAATTCTGACTTCAAAAGTTGAAATGGGTGTGTCAACCTTTGACCAATGAAATAATTTACCAGAATCCTGGTAAGCCTCGGTATGATGTCACAAAACAAAAGCACTGGGTTTTTCCAGACTCTCTGTTCGGCGTAGATTGCGCAGGCAACAAGACTCTGGTTGAACGAGACTAACTGAGACTACACACGGCCTACGTCAATAGTAAAAGATTGCGAGATGATAATTTACCTCCTCTCGATTATGAACCCTCTCACAATGACTCCATATCTTTGATAAAGATATGTGGTCGTGGAGGGGTTGAATCATACCTTGGAAGGTTCAACAAAAGTCAGGATCTAAAGGTGAGTAAGTGGAAATTAACTTTCTTGTTTACATTGAATGTCGATTCAGTTTTGTGTGTTTTACCTCTCTTTGTTTATATGTTTCTTAAAGTTATTCAGATAATATGATAGTCAGGAGGTTTATTAAACTTGCAAATTTCTATAGCTTGACGTTACTAAAACGAAAGTTAAATATCCAATTTATTCCTTCCACCCCCCCCCNAGCGTTGTAAACCGTACTGCTGATAACGATGTGCGAGCATGCCCAGGATAAGGAGTGAAAAAACCCTGAATAATGACCTTCCTATCAGATATCATGTTATACGTTCATATCAACATGACTTTGTTCCCCATTATTCAGATACTGATATCTTACCATGTATGTACTACCTAACTATGGAAACCTTGAAGATAAAACACAGAAAAAGACGTGATTTGAAGTTGAGTCAGACGAATCTGAAATTACTTCCCTGATTACTAGTTTGTAATTTAGATAATTTTCTGAGATTGATTCACATTTGCATGATCCCTTCGTATGATATGCTTGAATGCACTTCAGTTGTCAAACATGTCAAATCGAATTTAACATTGAAAAATAAAAAGCTTTTCTGCTTTAAAAATAAATATAAGGTGAAATACAATAAAGTCAGACTGTCTATTGTAATCAAGTGAGTTCCCAACCGGGTTAATATCGAAAGTTACTTATGATTCAAATATCTAACCTCTCTGAGTAAGTGTATTTGACATGATTAACACTATGTTGTCTCCATTAATGAAGACATCGAATCATGGGAACTTTATTTATCCCTCTATTTGAATTGAAAAAAATAATTTGTTTACCTAAATGGAAGTTAAATATTCACAACATTATCTACAAAATGTTCAGCATTCAGGGAAATGGCTACAAATGGTTTCCCCATTTTCGGTATAATGTGATCGAGTTGATTACTGTGCTTAGTGTTTTCGGCAAAGTTTTTCCATGGGTTTGAAAATAGGCTGATACATTCTGTCCATCAAAATACCACTTCCAGTACGTATAACACACATACACGCATGCATTAAACACTGTGAAACATGTTCTTAAGTTACCTTAGCTGTTCACAGGACCATTAAGAAAACAAAACAAAACCTAGATCACGGCGTTATGTGTACGGTGTACAGCCTCGTATGTCAGACTATAACTAACCAGGTCAGGCTTTTGTGTTAAAACAATATCGCTTACGCCATTATTGTGTGGACAATCTATGATAACTCGATATTAGCAATATACAGACAAATAATAGAGGCTGAGCCCATTGAAGCAATCATCAAAACCAGTTAAAAAAATGTTTTCATTGCATTAGAAAATGTATTGTTTTATATATAATTATTGCATGTCATTATTTAAATTCAAGACTATCATTTGTTTTATTTATACATATTTGTATTTGCATCTAATATACAAAAAGGATTGGGCACAAATTTTCCAACTTATGTACATCCTCTACATTTATAGAGAGGACCTTTATATAAAAAAAATAATGCTGTGTAACACGTACACTGCACGTACAACAGTTAATGCACTATTTACACCAAAATGTCAAGACGAACGTATTTTTCATTTAGAGGATATCTTATCATCAAAATGAAAAAAGAAAGTGTAGATTTTTAATTTCAAAAACACTTTCAGAAACTTAACTCATTTTCTATCATATTTGGGTAATATATTCCATATGATTGCGCCTAAATAATTAATTGCATTTAGCTCACTGGGTACAAAGGCAAGATGACCTGGTGTCGTAGCCCAGCCTTTGCCATCTGCCAGTAGTCTGTTCTTCTGTCCGTCCATCGATCCGTCATCCATTTTTAGCTCACCTGGCCCGAAGGCCCAAGTGAGCTTATGGCGTGGTGTGGCGTTCGGCGTCCGTCTGTCGGCCGTCTGTCGTCCGGCGTCAATATTTTACTTTAAACAACTTCTTCTGAATAACCAAAATGCCTAGGGTCATGATATTTGGCCAGTATCATGCTTAGATGAAGGCTACCAGTGACCTTCACCTAATTGTCAAGGTCACAGTGGTCAAATATGTTAAACACCTTTTAACAACCTCACCTGAATACCCAAGAGGCCTTGGATAATGATAGTTGGCCAATAGCATGCTAAGGTAAAGGGCTTCAAGTTTGTTCAAACAAATGACCTTTGCCCATTGTCAAGGTCACAGGGGTCAAATATGTTGAAATCTTTAAACAACTTCTTCTGAATAACAAAAATGCCCAAGGTGATGATATTTGACCAGAAGCATGCTGGGATGAAGGGCTACAAAGTTTGTTCAAATAAATGATTTTTACCCATTTTCAAGGTCACAGGGGTCAATTGTCTTAAAATATCTTTAAACAACTTCTTCTGAATAACTAAAAAGCCCAGGGTACTGATATTTGGCCATAAATATGCTGGGTTGGAAGACTACATATAAACTCAAGGACACGGTCGTCATAAGTTTAAATCTTTTAATAGGTTCTTATGAATTAAACACTGATATTCTGCCTGTTGTTGTATTGTAGTCCACTTTTATGATTACAAGTGTGAGATTCAGGCCTATTGAGCCTCTTGTTTCCAAACGACGTCCTTCTCAGAACTGCAAATATTTACTAAAAGCATTCTTAGGCGATTGGAATCCAAAATTGTAGAATGGTGGCAAACCTCATTGGAGAAAAGCTGAGCGCATTTGGAAGCAAATCCATGTAGCTGGGGTTCGAAATTATACAAATGTAGGTAATGTTAATAAATTTTTCAATATATATATCAACAAAAATTGGAAGATTCCCTATGCTAGTTTCAAAATTGTACAAATCAAGGGACTGACACCTATGAGGTTGAAGGGTGCAGGAATTTATTCAACCATATTATTAAAGCAACTGCTTCAGAGTTATGAGATATTAGAATAAATCTCAGGTGGTTTGGATTTGAATGTACTAATTGAAGGTACGTGCTGAGCCAAAATAGGTTAAAACTTTGACATCATTGCGATAACAACCATCAATCATGCATGTAATTCAAAAAATAGAGACTTATATAATTACTTTGAAATAGTTGAGTTCAGCACTGTCAACGTTTCACCATATAGAGAATTGCTGGACATGGAGAGAGTAACAAAAAATGCAATCATAATTGATACCATGGTCAGGTTTCACCCATAGGAACTTAATCATATGTTGAGTATGAGGAAGCAAATATGCATACCTACAAAGATTGGTAACAGGTTATTGCGGACAAATTCACTGGGTCATAACTTTAAAACGGTTGTTATATTTGCCCAGAAACATGTATTTAACTTCTTAGCATAAACAAAATCAAAATACAGATATGCTACCTCGATTGTGGTCAGTTTTACCCCTGGCACTCTTGGTCATAGCATGATACATTTGAGATTCACATCCCTCATATATATATACAAATGCAGGTCATGCACGAATGAACAGAGTCATGCTACCCGAAACAGCATTAGGGCTTGCCCCAAATATAAGGGACTCACATTATAGTCACTGGGTTAGAACAGGGGACATTTGTGATCCCCCTCCCTCCATCCTACAATATATACAGTATATATTACTGAGCATGAAGATTATGATACACATATGCTAACAGCTTTTTACCAAAGTGTCCAACCCTTTCCTTTTGATTCTATTATTATTAATTAAATACAAATATATTTTGCTATGATTGTTTAACTAACTAGATGAGCAACAGAGGTACTCGGGATCTCTTTATATATTGTTTTTAAATTTAGGGCGATGTATATTTCAATAGAGGGATTAATGTCTTAAGCATAAAATAGGCATCAGAATAGGTACTTATTTGCAAAGAAAATGATGCATTTTGATTAGAAACTAGTGCGATGGGTGGGGCTTAGCATGACTGAGTCCTATTCTAATGCAGATTAGTACAGGCTTTGTATCCAATCGGAACACCCTGCAAGTTTATTTCAAAAGAATAATTTATCGAACTTATCATTTTGATTGAATAGACCATCACTATAATCTGATTGTGTTTCTAAACAGTATATTCGATATTTATTTATTAATTACACTATCTTCATTATTCTGCGGTAACCCAGATTAGACAGCACCCGCATTTCATACATTTTGATTACAGACAAAAATAGAATAGTCCAACTTGACATTAAATTTATAGAATTGTACACCACTGCTGCATATGTAGAAGAAAAAGATGAGTTTATAGATGCACGTTATTTTTTCAAAATGTATAGCCAGCATCTATAAGCTGATTGCTTGTGCAGTCCTGACACATACACATGTCTATATTTATGAATAACTGTTTTCCCCATTAGACAATGCTAAAAACTTATTAGTCGTTTTAAAATATTTTCTCATCCTCTATTTTCTAGCTTCGTCTCATCTCCTACCTCAATGTAACAGCATTGACAATGGCTTCCAAGTATCATTTCAACAGGGAAACCACTAATTTTGCTCGACTTAGTCGAGTTATAATTGATGTCTATCGGGATCTTTTAATATCAGTGCTGAAAGTTAAACTCTCACCCCAAGGACTTACCGCTATTCTACAAAATCAAGGAGATCACCTTTACAAAATTTTTGAACAACGTCAGCGACAGATTCTTTATCCTTCAGGTGGAGTGTTCTCATGTACCCTGGAAGACTTGGACTTTACAATTCTATATAAACTACTTAGAAACCTCAGGGGTATCAATATTCCACCACCCAAGTGTGGTTGGGGGAGGACACCAGACCCAGCAGACAGGTCAGTTTCAGCTAATATTGAGCGATTGAGAGCCCATCGATATGCAACTATCGGACACCAGCCAACTGCATCAATGTCCGATCCAGAATTCAATAATAGGTGGAGTCTCATCCGTCAGAGCGTGTTGGAAATAGAAAAAGCCGTTTTGTTTGGCGACACATACGTAACAGCTATGGATGCTCTACTGACAATGGACATAGACCCTGATGCAGTGAAGCGTTATATACAAGTACAAGAACTACCTATGAAAACACAAAAGGCGGAATCGGAGGTCAATGGTCGGTATGCTATATTTACAACCCGACTAGTTTTTTCGTCGATTCATAGTTTTGAAAAATGTTGTCACATATCAAATACTTATGATTTTTTGTGTGACAAATATCTTAACCTACAATATATATTAATAAATGCCATTCATATCTGGTCAATGTACAGTTGTGGGACCGCACAACGCACTAAAAATAGCGTGCGAACATCGTTCATACATCGTGCACACACCGTCTGCACATCGTCCAAACATGATGCGCACAACTGAGCGATTTAACATTCGTTCGATCCGTTGTGCGCTTCTCTCCGCACAAATGTGCGATTTGGTAGAATTGGTTGATCAATATTACGGAATGAAAAACATCCGTAACCCCCATATGGAATAAGGAACACTGTATATATACATTGTTCATCAAATAAATTAGGATTATTTTTAATTTTACAATGCGTGTTACACAGCATTACAGTAACCGTTAGACTATCAAGAATTGGTTTAGCTTCCAGGTAACAGAACAGGTAAATAAAATGTTTATGATTGACCGGAGTTTTACCTGACCCGTGTCTTACAAAGAGAGTTGATATGTGATACCGTATGACCGTTATGAAAGCACAACTGGACGTTAAGTATTTGTTATTCGCATTCGTTTTGGTCTAAAGGACCCCTTCACCTGGATTTTCTCACCTTGGCGAGTTACGTAAGTGCCCCGGGTGTGGAAAACTATGGTCAGGATACAGATACAAAGTGACTATGTTTACCTGTATACGTGACCGTGTCAATACGTGTGTGTGCTATTTTACATGTAACGATTTGGGTCGCTTACAAAACACCGAAAAACACCATTTCTGAATTAAGAAAATATAGATAGAAAGATCAGCTGATATATGTAACTAGAATATAGAAATATACTTAAAAATCAAGTTTATATGCTAAAACACGAGGCCGTATTTATTGTTAAGCCATTTCTCAATTTACACCAACCACGATTGTCATCGCACAACGTTCGTCCATCGTCCGCACAAATGTGCGCAGGCAATAATCGTCCAGATTTCAATCGTTCGCACATCGTGCATACATCGTGCACACTCCGTGCGCACATCGTGTAACATTGTGCGTTACCACAACTGTATTATAATACGAATATATCAATAAGTAATTTTAGAGCGTCAAATATCTTCTTCATTGAAAAGTAGATTAAAATGGATTTGCAGTTTGATCTGGCGGGGCTGGGAAGCATCGGGGTCAGTTTCTTCACAATTTAGGGTCCTCATGAAAGAGGGATCTCAATATTCTGAAGTACATAAATATATCATTTAAATTATGTATATAGTTTTATTCTTTCTGCTCGAGTACCTAATTTTATTAATATTTAATTTAGAATATCTGGTAAAAACAAAGAAGGATCAGTGATGAGTATATATAACTAGCGGCATGCTGCGATAAAGAGTTATTGTTACGATATGTGACATTGATTCTCTTCCAAGCTCATAGGGGTCAGAGGTGTACAAATTTTGAACAATTTTTCCTGACTAGCCAAGAAATCTAGGGTAATGGTGATTAGCTAGTGACAATCCGGGGTTATAAAACTCGGGTGAAAGACAAGACCCGCTCTCTAGATAATAGGAGTCAAAGCGTTAAAACCTTTGAATCTTTTTTGAATAACCAAGAGGACATGATAATAATATATCGCTAGTTACATGTTGGGATAAAATGTTATAACACGAATGAGTATCACCTTCTTCAACGTCACATTAAATAGACCAATAGAGATTTAGAAGGCGCAGAGTCGTCAAATGTCTCTTTAAAAATCTATGATATGAAAGGTTATAATTAATTATATGCTAACTCGACTTAAACACTCGGGAAATTACAAAAATGATTGAATTCTACCAGAAGCAAACTATTTCCAAATAATGTTCGTTACTTAGTTACCAATAAATGTACGAATATTTTACTGACTCCTATTTGCTACAACATTTCATTATCAACATGTCTTATAAAATTGTTGCTATATATATGATTGGGTTCTACAATTGTTTAAATACAGCAAGGAAGAAAAACAACTATAAGGAGAGTATGAAGGAGGAAGCGGAAACACAAAATATCAATTTGACTTTAATTGACCACGCTCGAGCCGGGAAAACATGCTTGATGAGACAGTTGTTAAGAAAACCTATAAAAATTGGTGGAACAGATCGTACTAATTTGGCAGAACTACTGACCAAACGACTAAGATACAAACTTGGAACGAGTGCAAAGGAAAGAGAAAGGCTAGAGAAGGGAAAGGAAGCAGAATTGTGTCGACTGCGTTTAAGGAGACTCCGAAAGAGACGAGAAGATACAAAGATGACCTTGATATACCAGAGAAACGATCCATTGGGGACAGGTTCTAGTATGATATATAATACGAGAGATAATGCATTGTTTTCAATATTGTCAAAGATTGTAGTCTAAAGCATTTCTATTATGGGTTATTTCGCAACAATGGTATATATATTTCAGAAATGTTTTAGCATAACCATGAAATACATATCTTATTAACTGTTTCCTTTCAATTTTTAATGCGTGATTTGTCAACTTTCATTAAAAGATATGGAACCTTCGAACTCTGTAGCCTTCGTATTTGTCTAATAAAGTATTTACAGAAAAAAACTGTTATGTGCCATTTCTCCATCTAGAGAATAGTTATTTCCTAACGGCATTGTATATTGATCAGTCCAAAGTTCATAGTTATTTAAGAAGTCTAACTTACGATAATAAGTATTGATGTGTATGCATTTAAATTTGAGATAAAACATAAACAAGTGCTGTGCTTTCAGGTGATATGGGACCCACAGAAAATGAAACAGACACTTCTGACTCTTCAGAAGAGTTGGAAGAGGAGTCGCCCCCTTTTATGGGTGAAATAAACGCGTCACAAATGGCAGACGACCAAATAAAAGCAATAGAAGACATTCATAAGGAAGAAAAAAGCATAGATGACTCATCCGTGGCTTATGTCACGTTGTTTGATTTCGGAGGGGACAATGTGTTTCGTAACTGCCAACACTGCATCATGTCGGCAAACAGTATCTACCTATTGGTTTTTGATGTTTCTTTGTTTGACAACGAAAGTGAAAGTGAGCAAGATTACGTCATTGGTGAGTACATAAGTTATAGACCTAGTCGTTTACATAGAATAAAACAAATCTATCATTACATCTCATATAACTTAACATATGTTAGAGAAAGCGTTTTGCTGCCAAAACTTGATTAGCTACGCCTTTGCATTATTGTGACCAATGACAAAATGTATTTCTCTATTGAACTGAGTATATAAGCATTAGAACGTGCAGAAAATGATTCCGTCACCACATAATGGGTTTAATATTCGTTCTTAATTCCATAAAAAATAACTCATAACATTTAGCCTGACTTCGCTGTTCGGGATTTTCAGTCTTTTATTAGCCGTGTATTATTTCGAAAAAAATAAATAATACCATTGCAAAACTATTTCCGCTGCAGTCGCCGTAATTCTTCATATAATACTTTTCCTGTTTATAACACTAGCTAACTATAGAGGGATACAAACCAAATATGAGATTTGGAATGAAATTGTATACTATATAAGTAAGCAAACCGTGTAGTTAATCTATTTTTGTGTGTTTTTTTGCTTTTTATTTTTTGCTCATCAGTTTGACATTTTGAAGATAAGATATAATCTCAATGCAGGACACTTTATTTTACAGACGAAATAGATTTCTGGATGAATTTGGTTGCAACTTACGCTAAGGATGAATCTACCAAAGGTAAACCACCAATTATCTTGATTGGCTCTCATATGGACGAAGTTGAAAAGGTTAGTATGTGACAAGAATACATTATTTATTTTAATTATTTATATTAAGTTTAATTTGCTACCCGTATGTGAATATAAAAACTAATGCATATATACCAATTAGTAAAGGTAATGAACGATAAAATCCAGAGATAATATTTTTCTTATACATGTACATTCAAAATAATTAAATATTAATGTAATCAAATTTGTTTAATATGTATACAAACGGCAAAACGAAACTGTATGTACATGCAAACTATGTACAAAGCTAATTGTTTCAACACATAATTTTACACTAATAGCATATGTACACTCCTTAACAACCTTCAAAAGTTAATGCGTTTTGTGTCAGTTCATTTTTGTGTCCGTGTACACATGCAAAATGTCGCATTTTTCGCTGCTCACAAGTACGATATGAAATTTTGACAATTTTAACGACTGTATTACTTTTGTGGAGAATCAGCCAATGAACTGCAAGAAACCGCATGCGTGAACGACAAATTCGTTCTCAACGCCAATCTTACTTACCCGTCTTGGCAACGACGTCATTGTATTGCACGTCTGGTATTGTGCATAAGAATATCCGCTTAAATAAACGTGAGATGCACGGTGCGTATGCTGTTCTCAAACAAGTCTTAGTTTGGACGGTACTGACTTTCGATCGAGAGAGTACCGTCTCGTTGGTAAGCGTTTTAAAAATGTATTGTATAATTGAACGTGGTCCCCTTCGGCGGAGGAAGTGTAATTGACTTGGGCGGTGTAACAGCGAACGTCTGAACGCTTGTAGTCGTTATTGATTGAAATTTTGATTGTGTTACCGCGATGATATCCTGCAAGCCTCACGTCATCCTACAGCATCACGTAACGCTGCGTAACACGTAAAATGTTGACGCTAGAGTACAGGATACACACGTTTTGACTGAAGTTTTGACTCAGCAGAATTTCCTGGGCATTTTACAAAAATCCGCTTGGACCCATGCGCCGTCGGTGCAATGCGTACATTGCTGCTAACGGAGAACATACTCGATATTGTTGTTGTGAACTCGCTCAGGGTTCAGTTCATACTTTTGTACCCTTGTGATGAAATGGATGGTCTATGATGGAATGTGTCTTTAACAATTCTAAAACAAAGGGTCCCTCAACGTTTTGAAGTAATTGTTTTATACAAATGTTTACCTATGTACATTTTCTTTTCATCACCAGTATGTATATGAATGTGTTTGTAAAATACTAATGAGTATATCAATATAGAAAATCGAAATCAAAACTCAAAAAACGTGAGCAAAATATGAAAAAACAATTGATATACGAAAACTGAATAAAAACACAAGTTTAAGATGTACATTTGCTTTTAATGTGCCTTATAAAAAGCATTTCACAATATCGCTTCGCATTGTAGAACTGAATCCTGCAATATATATGTAATTGAAAATAACGATAGAAATTGTCATATAAAGGTTAATAAGGAAAACAAATCCACATGTAACTGAGCTTAATCAATTACAAAATCGACGGATGTAGATAAAACATTTAATTTGGACTGATGTAGATATAAGATTTGAAAATCTAGTATCCCATTATCACGCCATCGTGTGTAGGTTGTGACTCAGAAACGGTAGTCAATCATTGACAGTAACAGAAACTGTCAGATATGTATCGCCATCAAATTCTAATATTCAGTGCGATTTTAGCGATATGTCTGGCAATGATTCACTAGACGATTTCGATATCGAAGGCTTTATTGCACCAGAGGTAAACAATATTACAAAAAAACGGACAATGACGTTAGGAAAGTAAAATAGTTTTTACAAATTGTTCTCAGAGAAAAACGACCGATCGAAACAACAACCTCACCCGTACATTTTAAACACGTTCCGGGTTTTCAAAGGTAATGGAGGTTATCCGTTCAACCCCCCCCCCCCCAAAAAAAAGTTTAAACGTGAAGGTAAAGGCAATCTAAACAGGAGAGGCGATGCCATTATAGACATATATATTGATAGTTTTTTTGACTTAAGTCAACTGGGGACCAGTAGCCCTGAAATGTTTGTACGAGCTGCAAAACATTGGTCATTTTGGTATTCACGGTGGTACTGAACACCGAGATATGCGATGAGGCGATGTTCCATTATGTGAGGATTCGGAAAATAATGAATATATTAAATTCCGTGAATGTCAGACGAAAACAAGACCGGGTTTTAATTTATGATCACAATGGCAGAAAATGCAGGTATGTATAAAATCTTCTTTTTACCAACAGAAACAGGCAATCAATTCAGTGTGAACAAAATATCCGGATTAAGTCCCTCATCTTTTTCCGGCATCATCGTGTCGTGACATATGTAAATATAACGTCTAGGTCAATCGTCACGTTCGTCTCGGCTTCTTCAAGCTGTGGAGTCTATGGAGTAACTCAAAATATTTCACTTGCAGATTTCTAGTCTACACTTGCACAAGATTTAAAATAAAACTTTGTTAATTCAGTTATTAGGTCTGACTAGTAAGTCGGGAGTTATTCATCGGGGTAAACGGTTGAAAAACCACAACGCCAGAACATTTCTGGTGCAGAAACTCAATGACATAGGATTACCCCCCAATTAAACCATGCAGGTATAATTGAAAGGTTCAATAAATTTAATTGAACAATATCATCAAAAGATAAACTATCGCAGTAGCGACTCAATTTTAGAATATTTTTCACTTTTTTATGTGTAACTTACCTCCATTTAAAAGTGAAATAATTCCCAAATACTCAGAAATCTACGTAGGTCACACAAATCCATGTAGGCCATGATAATCACTTTCATTTAATTTAGGCCCATTAGAAATGAACGAGCTATTTGGAAATTATCACTACAACGTATTAGTAACTTGCTGATAATAAGTGTGACAGTTTACACTTATTCCAGATCTGCGGGCACAATACATACTGAGCATAAATAGCTATTCCGCAATCAACACAAACAAGCAGAGGACGATATCGATGGTGTTATCAGACTCTAGATCTAATCAGGTCGACAGGCCGTTTCTTCAGGCACCACGAAGGTCACAAAATCGCCGTTCCCAGCATACATGTAGAATTAGTAGTCCGGCAACACATTTTCGTAACTATTAAGAGGGCCTGCCCATTACGTAATTTTCATTTTAAATATAAACAATACAACCGTCACGCGCATAAAATCTGCAGTTTGTTTATTTTACTTGAATGCAATACTGCATACTCTTAATTTTTAAAGACTTTCATCTACTATATAATTATAAAATCTGTAAAATAAAGTCATTTTGAACCTTTGAGTTACGTTTTACATATGGGTCATATAACAACGCCAGCCTTGTCAACAAACAAATGTGTGTATGTCTATTCAAATCAGGTCACATCCCAGCAGTTTCCAACTAAGACTGGGTAGAAACAGGTCACACAACTATTGGTTGTTTAATATGGTATTTATTTTACTCTCCTTCGTTCATGCTCTTGTCTTTTTTACCTTTCAAATATTAATTAACTCGAGTGAAATAAATGTCATATCTAACCTCCACTCGTTGTGTAACCTCTATTTCATATATTCTCATGTGACATTTGTTCGTTGAAAACGATATGAATTATTTGCAGAATGAAGATGACTTGTCTAAGACAATATGGGACAAACTGGGGGAGAAACCTGGCATGAAAGCTCTTCTTAAACATCACATGACTGAGATCTGCTTTTTTGCGGATATGAATGTGAGTTACCTGAACGAAGAGAAGTACCTTGATTTATGGTGTGAAATAGAAAAGTGTGTCCATCTACAGTCTTGTTGGCACGACATCATCACTGGCTGTTGGCTGGCACTAGAAGAAAAACTTATGTTGGAAAAAGAAAAAGGAATTAAGTTCCTGAACATCAAACAGATACTGGATATCAACAAACAGCTTTTGGTACCTCTTGAAGAGGATGAGTTAGTTCCTTTTCTTCGGTATGTATCGGTAATAATTAATAGTTACACTCAAAATGTAGTTAATTGTTGGAGGTTGAACTGTCTCTGTTATAGAACACATTTTCGGTCAAACTATTTTACGATGCGCGGAAGCGCATCTTTGTGAATATGTTTGAACGAACCTCTTTCTTGCATTCAATCATACGTGATGTTGAAAGACGCGTTTCAGCGTTCACAATAACACAGATGGTGAAATTGTCATTTTTGCTTGAATAAATTCGCGTTTTCAACGACTACCATTTGCGTTATTCGACAAACCGTCATTTGAACTGTTCTTCTTTCACGTCGACAAACAATAAGAGAATAATAAACTTTTAACAAAGCCTGAATTGGAACTAAAAAATCAATAAAACGAAGCGAAATATACAAGGTGCTTTAGAAGGGTAAGTGTCATTTGCTTCATAGACGACACTCGACATATAAATCCAGGTCAAATGCAAGTAGTGTCAATAAACATTTAAAAACATCATCTCATTGTTTGACCTCGAACAATTAACATGATGAAAAAAACCTGAATGTTCCGATTGGAAAGCATTCACGTGTGGTAGTTTTTGTAACAAATGGTTTATAAAACATTTGTGATTGGCAAAGAGCTATGGCGGGTTGCTATGCCTATTTCCCAAAAGCTATGAACCGCTAGTGCGCGCGTTCAACCGTGCACTGTTATGACGCGTCCTCATGTATTTATATAAAGGTAGCTCTATCGGAATCCCGTGTCTAAGAATATATTATTGTAAACAGACGAATTTAAGGCCATGTCTATTAATAGATGCGCACCACGATAAAGACTCAACGAAATGCTTATTTCGCGTTATGCTGTATGAAACACAAGATCGTACAATCATTACCAACAAGTTTGAAAGGATTTAATTTCCATTACTACTACCTACGTCATGCCGTTACCTGTTTTCTTAAAAAGCACACATCTTGATTTTGTTCTTCCTGCACCTTGGAATGGCAAACTTACATATAGTTTTTGAATAGCATGTCTAACACGTGTATTGCGCTACTTACTTTGTGATGCAGTCTTCCTGCATTTAAAACAAATGAGACTGTCCTCGACGATGAATTTTCCCGCATGTTCGGATATATCTTTACGATACTAACAGTAATTATTTTTTGCTTTGCCTTTTTTTATTCTGACGCAACAATTTTGTATTTCGGCATCATTTGTTTGTATTCAAATAACAAATAAAAACACTAGTGCTAATTGGAGGGTAAAACAATTCATAAATATCTTTTAAAATTATGTCTTGTATGTAACTACAAAGAGTACACGCGTACAGGGATTTGTTGACATGATTCCATAGAAGATAAATAAATAGGTATGTTATTAAAAAATCAATGAAATGTTTCATTCATTTTGAAAATAAATGAAATGTTTCATTCATTTTGAAAATAAATATCACTTGATTGAGGAAAATGATCACATGCCTAAATATTTGAAAAGAAGTGTATATGAATGTGGATTCGAACCTGCACCATTTACTTCTTCTGGTCACAAGCCAACTGCATTACACATTAGGCCACATCGGACATAGACGAATGCGGAAAAACTAATTGTTTTAACCCGAAAAAACAACTGTCGCAGTTTTGATCAATCATGTTTTTCACTATTTTGAGCACTTTCCCAAAGGAGGACCACTCTTCCGAAATACTATTTGTTTTTGCATATTACATCACGGAATCAAAATGTTTATTCTAAAGTTGGTCTTCGGATGGGAAAGTATTGAAAGTATTTTTTTAAGTCTGGGAAACCCCGTCACTTTCGTAGATGTAGTGAATATGGCTGTATTTGCAGTATTATATTAGCAATCCCGAATATCTCAACAGTTCAAAAAAATCATATTCAATTGGTTTTATATCTATTCCATGCATTTTCGCTATTAAAAACTATTTACTCATCATCGCCGCCATAGCTCTTTATAAAAAAAAACTGTACAACAAGAACGTTCATATATGAATCTAAAGCATTCAAAATTCTTATTGAAATATAGTTGCTAGACTAGGTTTTACAATCATGGATAAAATATATTTGCAACGAAAAAGATAAACTAACTTGTATATTTCATAACACTTTTTTTACATTAAAATGCCCAATCAATGCGCTTCCATGAATATGAATCGTTTGGGCTTTGGAAAACCTTAGACAATAGGTCTATGTATTATTGATTTTTTGAACCTACTTAAATATCTATAGACAAGATATTTACTAATAACATTTAACTTACTTTAACAGGTTAAATGTAAATGGGCTACAAAAGTTTACAACCGAAAGTTGTCAAGCCTAATGGGTGATGCGGGACTGGAGCATCCTCTGACGTTTCACCCTTTATTTATCTTCCATCAGATATGAAATTCTATTAAAACTGTTTTTTTTTTTATTGTTTAATGACTTCAGATTTCATTAAAAAAAAACAACCTATAATTACAAATGTAATTTACTCAGGGGCACTGTTTTTAAACGGAACACATTTTAGGTAGGGATAACAATCGCAAGAAACACTAGCTGATCCTCAGAGGAGTCATCACATGGTTATTTTCCCATATATTGTTTCTTTGTCCGTTCTATCCCTCTTGTTGCCATGTGATATTCATTATAAATTCTGATTATAATCAATTGTGTGACATATTTTTCTATTGTAATTTCAGATATTTGCATAACACTGGAAGTATGTTCTGTTTTGGCATTGTCGGAAAGAAGGATTCCCAATCCCTAACTGAGCAAGAAAAGGAGCAAATGAACGTCATATTAGATATCAACTGGATAGTCCAAGCATTCGGAGCCATCATCACAGATGACGATTTTGTGAAAACAACAGGCCAAAAACAACGTCTTATGTGGAACGAGTATAAAAGAACAGCAAATCTTACAGACATGGTCCTTGACATTCAATGGAACAATGTATCAAATGAATATCGCCAGGTATTATTATCAGAAATGAAAAACCTGGGATTGATAACAGAGCCAGGGAATGTTTCAGATAGTCCAAACCTGGGAAAAGAAAATCAAAGCTATATTGTTCCCTGTCTACTGGGCGAAGCCAAACCAGACCGCATACAAGAACTATTAAACAATAGCAGTGTCCTTTGTACAAAAACATTGTGTCTGGTATTTGAACATCAGTTTGTTCCGCAAGCTGTTTGGGACAAAACTGTTGCATTTTGCATACACGCATTTGGTGAATGTACTAACCTAAACACGGGTATCACGAGAGCGAAAGCCGATTACCTTTGCCCCAAAAGAGGTTTCATCTGCGGAAGGTTTGATCCCGTTTGGAACTTCGTCCTGCACTGTAAAGGGACAATGCTTAAACTGACAATGTTTACTCATCACGAGACATCTTTGACTCACGGAGTTGGACAAAACCTGCGGCTTAAAATCGAAGACATTCTAAAAACCACTATTTCAAAGGCAAATCAGGGACATCGAATATTCAGCTACTACATTCATTGTGACTTTTTTTATTTCCGATGGAGAGTTGCATTGTGGAAAGCCAAATGAGGAGACATGGAAGAGTTGCAATAAATACAGAGTTGAAGATGCTAGGGGAAACAAGTGTATCCTGACGCGAGATGACTGGCAAACATGGTTTGGAGTTGTCGATAAGGTACATTTACAGTAACTTATTTATACAATGCAATCATTGTATCGGTAGAAATTTGAAATATATATGTAAATATGCTTGTGAATTACAATTTGTTGACTGGAAATGTTGTACATTTAATCATGACGTGTGTGTATGTGTGTCTTTTGTTTTGTTTTGTTTTAATATATGATGTCCTTCTCAAGTCATTATTATCTCCCCTTACTGAAAATTGCTAGTTTGATATTCAACAGATTTTTCTCGGTAGTTTATAACAGTTTTAGCTCACTTGGTCCGAAGGCCAAGCGAGCTTATGCCGTGGTTCAGCGTCCGTCGAATGTCGTCAGTATTTGTTTTTCTTTAAAGCGCTAACGGCTCAAAAGATTTTAACCAAATTTAGTCTGAAGCATCATTGGCAAAAGGGGAATGCCCCCCATAGACTGATTGACTTATTGATTTTTCGCTTCACTACCGAGCAGACGGAGAAAAGACGGGAAAATGAGTGAAATGGATAAAGTATGGAGTCCGTCATTTTATGATTCTGTGTGTGTGGTGGTGGTGGGAGTATGAAAGAGGTGAAGGGTACCGAGGAGATGTGCCGATAGAGTTGGAGGACTTGGTCGGTTGACAGTAGTTGTGCGAACCGGGGAGTGGGGCGGAGAGTTGGGCAGGGCGGGGCGTGTCGGGGCGGTGGTCGGCATGAGGTGGTAGTAGGGTTGTAAGTGGATACTTTGGGATGGGTGTTTACAAAACTTCAACCAAACCTTTACCAGAGCATTTTTGGACAAAGGAGTTTCATTTTTTTATAAATGGAGGATGTGCCTCCCTGGGGGCAGAGAGATGGGGCCCAATAAAGGGACAGTTGATTGTCGTTCGTGTCCTTCATCCTTTCCTATAAAGCCTTAAGGAGTATTTTCCTGATAGTTGGTAGCAGTGGTGTTATACATTGAAAATTGTTGTATTCCGTTACAGTACCTCCTTGGGCATTTATTTAATAAGGTCACTCTTCCATTCAGCTGGCACTGTGTTTGTTTACCAGATGTTTCTGAGAAGTCATATATAACATCAACTGTTTGTTTCAAGATCTACTGTTAACATTTCTGCTAGAATGTTATCTGTTCCTTTTACGTAATTGATGGCCTCCTCTCGCTAATTTTTTTTTCACTTAAAGCTGATTCTGATTCATTGTTGTCAATGTCTATACCAGTGTGTACATATGGGTTTCCTCTATTCAACTCATATGTTCAATGTTCTTTCTCTAGTAAATGTGTAAAATTCGGACATGGTTAGAAATGTTAATTGCAACATTCTAACAAAGACCAGTAAAGTATAACACTATCTTATACTTTTCTGGACTTTGTTAGAATGTTGCAATTAACATTGCTAACAATGTCCGAATTTTACACATTTACCAGACATGACCTTTGCATTTTTTATTACTACCCTAATTGTCTCCTTTCTTCAGCTTCGAAAGCGTTGTCTTCCATCCGTTTTCGTCTGTCTCCTCAAACACTTTCTTTCGCCTCTTGTATCATTGTGAAAGCATTTGAAAGCGTTGCCTTTGCAATATACATTTTTGAACGTATATTGCTTTCCTGAAACACAAGCGACCATGATTGTAACCATTCCTCCTTAACACTTTTCCTGTAACTACGTGTCATCGGCTAATGCACACAGTTCTTGATGGGTTTTTTTATCGACCTTCTCCGTATGTCCATCTATTTCTGAGAATGTATTGCGGAGTCTGTATGTCTATTTTGTCACTTATTGCTTGAATTAAGGAAATGCACACGTCTTCTACCTTGAACTTTATTTGTTGCTCTTGACTTTAGTCGCCCCTATGTACGTGCGAGGAGTTGACCGGCCTTTTAAAAGGATTCTGCAAAATATTGACATGAAAAGCTGTGTCTAAAAATCATCAGAAAAATCCTTGCCCTATATAGAATATACAATTTCTTGGTATTACGAGACAGGTTCATTCGTATAACAAAGACTGACACTGGGTCTATCGTACTCCGAGAGACTTATTCCTGAATCATAACATCAAATCAGTTGATGAGCTCAACCTTTAACGATGTATATACAATTGCTAGGAATGAAAATATAAACACAATCATGCTTTTAGAATTGGCTCAAAAGTTTTGCACTGCCCTGTCAACTACGACAATTAGGCTTGGTCATTTATTTGATAGAACCTATTCCTCATGAAGAATAAATATTTCAAATAAATTTACAAGAAGGCATAATTTGGACCAGCATATGAAGCTGAGAGACAGACCTAATATTGTAAATATTTGCAGTATGGTCATGGGTGAGAATATTAAGCTGAACAACAACAAGCGATTGAGATACCAATGTCATTGATTTATTTGCAATTTTCCCTTTCCACACAGGTGTCTCCCGTAGAGAAATTCACTGACATGATAAAAGTGAAAGAAATCCATGCTGATATGGTGACAGGCCTACACTGTTGGATCTATCCAACATCGACAAACAGATGGGAAACATTCCAAACGCAATTAGAACCGTTTTTGGCAGATGCCGAATTGTACGATGTTCCTGACAACAGTATGGCGAAAATCTGTAAAACGCTGATGAGCAAGGAAGTCATTGATTATGGAGAGTATAGCACTCTTCGAGAGATTGTTAACCGTATCCATGTTAAGGCAGCTGGCGTTATTGATAAAGCTATGGTGGACCTGTTGAACTATTGGCCCTAACCTCAGGTAACTAGGCAACTGCTGTTGTAATGTTAATGTGTTGATACATATCAATGTTTATAACTAAGGAATAAAATAAGTAAAAATTTCATTAACGGGTAAATAGTTCTGTATATAAATCCTTTCATCTTCATACATATTAACATACGAACATTCTGATATAAGTTTATACGAAGGCGATATTAAGGACACAGCAGTTCTTGGTCAATTTAATAATTCTACATATATGTTTAAAAATATTTTTGCAGATACAATGACACAACATGAAGTGAGGGATCTCTAAGGGGCTAGCTATCACACCTTGATGCGACACAGTGTTATAATAGGCCTTGCTTTAAAATTGGCCAATGAAGCCAACCTATACTCTTGTATGACATTAGTCATACAAACCCTGGTATGACGTGAATCAGTGGATCTATCACCCACTCTGTCGCAATATATGACGTAATGTATAGACAGTATCCTGACAGTACCAGTGTACTACTAGTGAACTAACCATCAGCCATTGACGTTGTAATAACAAGTTTCACAGTTGGGCGAAAACTTAACAAGGTGTCCAAGTTCACGGGAGATAGAAAAGTTAACTCCAGTGCACAAACATGTGAATTATACTTCACAGGCTTGTGTACTAAATAATTCAGGAGCTTGTGCACTGGGATTCACAACCATGTCCACTATAGTTGACAACATAATTACATGTCTGATGTTCATCGCTTATTACATATTGTGAAATTCTTCCCCTCCCCTCTACTAAAATAAATATAAAAAAAATCTTCATAGTAAAGATTCGTTTACTTCCAAAGATTTTAAAAGTATCCTTAAATAAAAGTAAAGAAATTTCAAGCATGCGTAAATATAAAATGAATTAATCTCAATAGCCTTTGAAATTATTGGTACATGTATATACAGGTATTGGTGGTTCAAAGTTAATAAAAGTGTTTAATAGACATATACTTTAAATTTCATTTATGGTTTTAACAGTATTTAGTTCTATTTCAAAAAACAAATTTTATGAAAATATAATTGTGGTTGATACAAGCTTATTTAGATAGAAATATTTCAAAAGAAAATTGTTATAACAAATAGATCATAATAGGGAATCATAACTTTTTTCTGTATACTCTCTTTGAAACGTTGGAATGTTGGAATCCCGTGAACGATCACACAGACGTACACAAGTTCATGTTGCAGCGTTTTCACACAAGGTATAAGGCCATTTTATTATAAATTTACAAATCTTCGAATAATGACATCTACTTTTTAACACCTGTAGATCTAGGTGTAATTTCCATGAGAGATCTTCGACATAAAATGCTAAGGTAGCTTGAACGAGTTCGTGTTTAAGCAATTTTAATTCAGAACTAGGAACAATATCAAATCTTGCAAATGCTCTACCGCCACCATAAATTGTTAACTTTCTATAAAATTGTATGTAGAAATTCGGTACCAGAATAACCAAAATGAACTCCAATGCTTGTGAACTATATTTCATAAAGGTGTGAACTCGGTCAGCTACAGCTAAAATGAAAGTAATATTTTTAAAGTAAAAAATGCATTAATACTTGGAACACTCTTATATCAAACAATATTTTATGTACTACTTTCTATTATGTACTTGTAATAGTGTTATAGTTGTTTTATGTTTGATAGAGTTCAATGATAATGATATTAGAGGTTGGAGCACTCTTGTTTTAGGGAAATTATCTTATGTTCTACCTTACATGGTTTAACTGTTAATTCCATTTTTGACTCCCCAATATTAGAGCATGGAATACTCTTGTATAAGAAAAAAACATTTTATGTCATACTTTCTGTTGTGTTGTAGTTAAATATAGTTTACACAGTGTAAGAGCTAGAAGCACTCTTGTATTAGCGAAATATCCCATATACTACATTTTATGATTTTACTGTTCTTACCATTCTTTACAAATAATAATAAATTCCCCAATATAAGAGCATGGAGTACTCATGTATTAAGGAAAGTATTGTATGTACTTTTTTCTATGCCTCGAGGCTCGTGACATATCAAATTATTTAACCCGGTTCAATGAATCAATATGACATGGACACTCATATAAGGTCCTCTATTGTTGTACATTTTTCTATTGTTTCTCTACTACACTTGTTCATTTGTTTGATTTTTTAAAAAAAATCCCTAATATTAGAGCTTGGAGCTCTCTAGTATTTTAAATTTTTTCACATGTACAACTTTTTTTTAATAATTACTGAATATAAAAAAGTTCTCTTACATTATTGCTTAGAAAACTTTTGTATACGACAAAATATTTTATGTACTATCTTCTATTGTGTAATAGTAAGATAGTTGTATTATATTTGATAGACTTCACTTATATTAGAGCTTGGAGTTGTATTACGCAATTAATCTGTATTTAACCTTTTATGATTCTACTGTTAATCCCATGATTGACGTTAAAATAAATTCCCCAATATTAGAGCATGGAGCACTCTTGTGTTAGAGAAATTATTGCATGTACTATTTTCTGTTGTGTAATAGTAAGATAGTTGTTTGATGTAAGATATAGTTGACCTTTTTAAGAGAATGGAACACTCTTGTATTCGAGAAATCATTTCATGTACTGTTTTTCTGTTGTGTAATAGTAAGATAGTTGTTTTAATGTTAGATAGAGATTACCTATTTTAGAGCTTAGAGCACTCTTGTATTAAAGAATTTGTTTCGTGTACTTTTTTCTGTTATGTTATATTTAGATATTTGTCTTATGTTAGATAGAGTTCAGTAATATTAGAGCTTGGAGCACTCTTGTATCAGGTAAATTATGTTATATAATAGTACTACCTTTAATGATTTTACCGTTTATCTTATTTTTGACAAAATAATTTATTCTCCAATATTAGAGCGTGGAGCACTCTTGTATTAGAAAAAATAGTTTATGTCATACTTTCTGTGGTGTTATAGTTAAATAGAGTTTACTGATACACAATGTAAGAGCTTGGAGCACTCTTGTATTAGGGAAATTATCCTACATATTACATTTTATGATTTTACTGTTTTTTCCCATTCTTGACAAATAATAATAGATTCCCCAATATAAGAGCATGGAGCACTCATGTGTTAAGGAAATTATTGTATGTACTTCTTTCTATGCCTCGAGGCTCGTGACATATCAAATTATTTAACCCGGTTCAATGAATCAATATGACATGGACATTCACGTAAGGTTCTTTATTGTTGTACATTTTTCTATTGTTTCTATACTACATTTTATCATTTCACTCTCATACATGTTTTTTTTTTTTTTTTTTTTTTTTAATCCCTAATATAAGAGCTTGGAGCACTCTTGTTTTATAATGTTCTTTACATTTACAACTTTTTCCTGGTTTTTGTATATAATTGTTAGATTTTACAAACAAGTTCTCTAAGATTAATGTTTTGAAAACTTTTGTATTAGACAATTGTGTAATAGTAAGATAGTTGTATTATATTTGATAGACCTCACTTATATTAGAGCTTGGAGCTGTATTACGCAATTAATCTGTATTTAACCTTTTAAGATTCTACTGTTAATCCATGATTGACGTTAAAATAAATTCCCCAATATTAGAGCATGGAGCACTCTTGTGTTAGAGAAATTATTGCATGTACTATTTTCTGTTGTGTAATAGTAAGATAGTTGTTTGATGTCTACATTTTATGATTTCACTCTCATACATGTTTTTTTTTGTTTTTTGTTTTTAAATCCCTAATATAAGAGCTTGGAGCACTCTTGTTTTATAATGTTCTTTACATTTACAACTTTTTCCTGGTTTTTGTATATAATTGTTTGATTTTACAAACAAGTTCTCTAAGATTAATGTTTTGAAAACTTTTGTATTAGACAAACTATTTTATGTACTATCTTCTATCGTGTAATAGTAAGATAGTTGTATTATATTTGATAGACTTCACTTATATTAGAGCTTGGAGCTGTATTACGCAATTAATCTGTATACAACCTTTTATGATTCTACTGTTAATCCCGTGTTTGACATTAAAATAAATTCCCCAATATTAGAGCATAGAGCACTCTTGTATTAGAGAAATTATTTCATGTACTATTTTCCTGTTGTGTAATTGTAATATAGTTGTTTTATGTAAGATAGAGGTTGCTTATTTAAGAGCTTGGAGTACTCTTGTATTAGCGAAATTATTTCATGTACTATTTTCTATTGTGTAATATTTAGATAGCTGTTTTATGTCGGATAGAGTTCAGTAATATTAGAGCTTGGAGCACCCATGAATTAGGTAGATTATGTTATATACTACCTTTTATGATTTTACTGTTTATTTAATTTTGACGTAAGAACTAATTCTCTAATATTTGAGCGTGGAGCACTCTTTATTAGCGAAATTATTGAATGTATTATTTTTCATGATTTTTACTTTGTATAATATTTTTATGCTTTTATTGTTAACGACTTACAAATGTACATAACGTTCAAAGAAATTCCCTTATGTAACAGCATGGAGAACTCGTGTGTAAGAACATTGATCACATGCATTTTTCGTTGTTGTTGTTGTTGTTAATTTGTTGAATGTTAGATAAAGCCGAGGTTATTGTAAATTTACCGCACTTTCCTTAAGGATGTCCTCTTCTGAGGTTTAAATCACGTTCAAGTACGTATTTATCTCCTGTAACGCGTTTGTGTAATATTTACCAAATTTTGTCTAATTTAAAAAGCCAACACATATCTGAAAAACCTACAATACACTAGATTGCTAACTTAAATCGTCACTGTGTCGCCATTTTAATTGAAGCAAGTTATTTTTGATGCACAACTTGACTCTCAGAGGCATCCTTAAACCGCAAAATATAAAATGCAGAATTATATACTAAATATTTCGTTTTTAGCTCACCTGCCCGAAGGGAGGGCAAGTGAGCTTATGCCATGGCGGAGCGTCCGTCGGCCGTCCGTCAACTTTTCCTTTAAGACGCTACTAGTCCTGAACGGCTAAGTGGATTTTAAATAAAATTTTGTCTGGGGAATCCTTGGCCCAAGGGCATTCAATTTTATATAAACGGTGGGTATGGCCCCCCTAGGTGCAGATGAGTGGGGAACAATAGAGGAAATAGAGGTTTAACTTTTAAAATCCTTCTTCTAGCGTATGGATAAAGGCATTTTATCCTATTGTAGTCTGAAGCATGTGTAGGCCAAGGGGACTCAATTTTGTATCAACGGTGAGTGTGGCCCCCGGGGGGCAGAGGGGTGGGTCCAAATAGGGGAAATAGCTGTAAACCTTCATCATTCTTCTTCTACCATAGGGACTGAGGGATTTCATCCCAATTTGGTCTTTAGCATCATCAGGCCAAGGGCACTCAATTTCGTATAAACAATGGGTGTGGCCCCCAGTGCAGAGCGGTGAGGCCAAATAGGGGAAACTGAGGTAAAACTTTTAAAATCCTTCTTTCACCATAGGGATTACGGGCTTTTATCCCAATTTTTTCTCCATCAATTTGTCTAGTAGTGCCTGTTACTATTAGGGTGCATTCATTAAATCAAGATGGCCTCCAGGCCGACATGTTGGATTTTGACATTTGAGTTTGTTCTCTCTATATCTCCAGAAATACTTGATGGATCTTTTTGAAATTTCATACGTATATAGAGTACCTACCATTGATTGCTATATATATACCTCATATCAAGTTCTTCAAACATATAGAGGTGAGCGATACAGGCCCTCTGGGTCTCTTCTTATTCTCAATCATATGCTTATTATTATGTAACTAAACATGTCGATATGTGACTGCATCTGATATGCAACCCGAATATCGAAAGTGTTCCATTGAAGAAGTAGATAAAGTTCAAAATATACCGATGGAATGATATAATTAAACATTGAGCATCTCGGATATTTTTATTTCGTATGTGCGCGTTTTATTGCACAACCCGGGACTATCGACTGTTAAATCGTCCTGTTGTGCGAAAGATGACCGGACGGTGTGCGCACGATAGTTTTGGTGCGTTGTGCAATCTCTCAAGTGTTATTAAAGTGATATAATAACAGAGGTTAGAACACGCTCTTTATTGGATTTATTGATATATATTTATGTATTCCATCTTTTATTTTGATTGTTCATTCGTTGTTCTCAATATTAGTTTGACTCAATTAATTATAGAGGATGATAACTAGCTCTTTGTTTAAGAGAAAACATCAATGCGTACTTTCCATTTTTTTCTGTTAAATTGATGTTAATGTTTTTAGGATCACTGATTTTTATGTGATATAGGAAATCGAAGCACTCTCGTAGAAGCATGATATCTATATATATGTTATACTCCACAGAGACCAAAATGACTTTAATGCAGTTTAATGTTTATTACATGCTTTCATTTTATTTGAATATTTTGATTTTTGATTTTAGTGAACTTTTCGTTGTTGTAAAGCCTGTCAAAATGGAGAAGTTAATTGCTGTAACATCCGGCTACTCATTGATTAAATAGTTGTTCTCTATGTTACTTTAAGTAACACGCATTTGGTTCTAAATGTTAAACGAATGTTTTCGTATGAAACATGAAAACAATAAGGATTCCCGTACCGCTGCCAAAAACTTTAAATGTGCAATGGAACTTGATTGTTCTGCATGGCAATAGCTTTGATGAATCATTTCAGAAAAGAAAACCATACATCGCCGGATTTTATTTGGAAAATGATACAAGACAATAGATAAAATAAACAACAAACTAATAAACAGCGATGTTCTGAATGTTAAAAAATGACAAAAATTATAAAAAAGCAGAACTAGATTTGGACTCGAACCCTTTGCTTCATATTGTTATGTTATCGCTCTTACTGATGAAGCTACCTTTTTCATCGGAAGTGTCCTAGCCTAACTGTACTACACTCAAAATTTAAAGAGGAGCTCACTGTATATAAGAAAAAAGGGAAAACAACAGTGCAATGGAACAGGGATCCTGCAGTCTATTTATATATATATATTAATTATCCAGTTAGAATAGATAGTATTACAAATAAAAAGGCAAAAACTATCCGATTTAGCATACTGGTATCAGGGAAAGTATTTGTACGTTCCTAAGTGTAGTAGGGGAGTTATTAAAGGATCAGTGAAAATAGACTATACATACTTATCATATTTTCTACATTATTATAATTACTTCTTTGCTCCATACACCATTTTGAAGAAATAAGTATTGTACAAACATACGTTTTCAAGAACCCAGTGTTATTTGGGGATTTACCGTTTATATAACTTCTTTGGCCCATACAATTTATATGTACATTGAAATACTATAGATCGTTATCACAGTAAACTTAATGTAATAGTTTTCTTCGCCAGAAAATTGTTTATCAGGAATTTCTTACTCGCCTGTCATTTTTTTGAGAACCGAAAAAATGAGACACACAGGTACTTCTGTTATCATGCAAAAGCTTATAATAATATCAAATACCTGGTAATTGCTTAATCTAAATAAAATTGAATTTTATCACAGACATTGAATTATTCTGTTATTATTGACACTTGCTTTTAAAGTATGATCAGGTTTACACCTTCGAGAAGAAACATGACATCTATGCATTAAAGTATAATGTCATCCATAAAATTCATAAACAGTGTTGAATTTTCGACCGGTTGACTTCTAGCACATCTCTTTAATTGTTTAACCTTACTTGTGTCTGTTTGTGTCATTAAAGTTTTGAGTAGTTTTACAGCTTTTAGAAAAAAAAACAATAACTTTCGTTTCAGTTTAAAATAACGCAAAAGGCATACATTCATTCAAACAACTCTTGTATAGCTAAATCAGCATTGTGGTAATGACAAAAGAATATAGTTCCAACGTGCAAAGAAAGCCATTATTCAAACTCGTCATAGAAGAAAGTAGCGCAAAGTATACTGACGGAATCTCAAAAAAACACAGACATCGTGCAATGCATAAACAAGAGGTCCATTGGACCTGTATAGCTCACCTGGTTTTATAAATAAGTCATTACAACTGAATGCATTAGTATATATTTGTATGAAATTTCCTCAAAACCAGACAAGATCTATCTTCTAACCCTACTGGGACCACAATATCTGACGTTCAACTAATCAGGGGCTTCCATTGAGTTGCCATTTTGAAATAGTAATATGTCATATTACACGGTGTAATTAGACAATACTTTCATTCAACCTTTTATGAACTAAGTAACCAATTTTTAACAATTTATGAAAACTACACCATAGAATATGATAATCTAGCTGTACCATTTCTTAGGACCGCAAGGGTCAAATCAACCTCTTTCAATTAAGAAATGTTTGTTCTTCCTCAATAATGTTTTTGATCAAATTGTGTACAATCCACTCAGGCAATTTGTGGGTATTACAATGTAGCGTCTTAAAGCAAAATATTAGATAATTTCACCCTTTGGGGCCCAGTCTTCCTAGCCCCAGGGGTCGAACCAGCCTCATTTCTTTAGAAAATGATTGCCCTCCCCCAATGAAGTTTCAGAGCAAATTTGGTTGAAATCCTCTCTGGTGTTTAGGAGGAGATGCGTTTTAAAGCAAATTTACCTACGTTCCCCTGCAGGGCCCGCCCCCCTGGCCTCAGAAGTCGAACCAACCTCATCTATTTAAGAAATGATTGCACTCCCTTATTGATGATTCAGACTGAATTTGGTTGAAATCCTCTTTAGCGTTAAGATGAAGATAGGTTTTAAAGAAAAAGTTGACGACGGACGAAGGACGCTGCGCCACGGCATAAGCTCACTATGCTCCTTCGGACTAGGTAAGCTAACAATGAAAACCAAAATTTAATTCGACTCGTTTCCTAACCATCCGACTCAATTCTTATTCGTAGCTGTTTAATCGTATTCATGTCCTGGGAACGCTCGAAAAACAGCAAACTGACTTGATTGACGTTTAGATTTGCAATATGTTTGTCTGTCTTTGTTTTGCTTCATCGACAGAGTGTGTAACACATGACAAAAATGGGAATCATGTCCCGACATTCACGTGCAGCTTGTTTGATTTCAGCATATAAATACGGTATTGCGTCATGACGTCATGACCGAGTGTAGTCAGTGAACATTGCTGACCGAGTGTAGTCAGTGAACATTGATGACCGAGTGTAGTCAGTGAACATTGATAACCGAGTGTAGTCAGTGAACATTGATGACCGAGTGTAGTCAGTGAACATTGCTAACCGAGTGTAGTCATTGGTCATTGCTGACCGAGTTTAGTCAGTGAACATTGCTGACTGAGTGTAGTCAGTGAACATTGATGAACGATTGTAGCCATTGAACATTGATGACCGAGTGTAGCCAGAGAACATTGATGACCGAGTGTAGTCAGTTAACACTGATGACCGAGTGTAGTCAGTGAACATTAATGGCCGAGTGTAGTCAGTGATCATTGATGACCGAGTGTAGTCAGTTAACACTGATGACCGAGTGTAGTCAGTGAACATTAATGACCGAGTGTAGTCAGTGAACATTGATGAACGCGGGTAGCCAGTGACCATTGATGACCGAGTGTAGCCAGTGAACATTGATGACCAAGTGTAGTCAGTGAACATTGATGGCCGAGTGTAGTCAAAGAACATTGATGAACGAGTGTAGTCATTGAACATTGATGACCGAGGGTAGTCAGTGAACATTGATGACCGAGTATAGTCAGTGAACATTGATGACCGAGTTTAGTCAGTGAACATTGCTGACTGAGTGTAGTCAGTGAACATTGATGAACGATTGTAGCCATTGAACATTGATGACCGAGTGTAGTCAGTGAACTTTGATGACCGAGTGTAGCCAGAGAACCTTGATGACCGAGTGTAGTCAGTTAACACTGATGACCGAGTGTAGTCAGTGAACATTAATGTCCGAGTGTAGTCAGTGAACATTGATGACCGAGTGCAGTCAGTGAACATTGATGACCGAGTGTAGTCAGTTAGCATTGATGACCGAGTATAGTCAGTGAACATTGATGACCGAGTTTAGTCAGTGAACATTGCTGACTGAGTGTAGTCAGTGAACATTGATGAACGAGTTGAACATTGCTGACCGAGTGTAGTCAGTGAACATTGATGAACGAGCGTAGTCAGTGAACATTGATGAACGAGTGTAGTCAGTTAACATTGATGACCGAGTATAGTCAGTGAACATTGATGACCGAGTTTAGTCAGTGAACATTGCTGACTGAGTGTAGTCAGTGAACATTGATGACCGATAGTAGTCAGTGAACATTGATGACCGAGTGTAGACAGTGAACATTGCTGACCGAGTGTAGTCAGTGAACATTGATGGCCGAGTGTAGTCAATGAACATTGATGAACGAGTGTAGTCATTGAACATTGATGACCGAGGGTAGTCAGTGAACATTGCTGACCGAGTGTAGTCGGTGAACATTGATGACCGAGGGTAGTCAGTGAACATTGATGACCGAGTATAGTCAGTGACCATTGATGACCGAGTGGAGTCAGTGAACATTGCTGACCGAGTGTAGTCGGTGAACATTGATGACCGCGTGTAGTCAGTGAACATTGCTGACCGAGTGTAGTCAGTTAACATTGATGTCCGAGTGTAGTCAGTGAACATTGATGACCGAGGGTAGTCAGTGAACATTGATGACCGAGTATAGTCAGTGACCATTGATGACCGAGTGGAGTCAGTGAACATTGATGACCGAGTATAGTCAGTGACCATTGATGACCGAGTGGAGTCAGTGAACATTGCTGACCGAGTGTAGTCGGTGAACATTGATGACCGAGTGTAGTCAGTTAACACTGATGACCGAGTGTAGTCAGTGAACATTGATGAACGCGGGTAGCCAGTGACCATTGATGACCGAGTGTAGCCAGTGAACATTGATGACCGAGTGGAGTCAGTGAACATTGCTGACCGAGTGTAGCCAGTGAACATTGATGACCGAGTGTAGTCAAAGAACATTGATGAACGAGTGTAGTCAGTGAAAATTGATGACCGAGTGTAGTCAGTGAACATTAATGTCCGAGTGTAGTCAGTGAACATTGATGACCGAGTATAGTCAGTGAACATTGATGACCGAGTGTAGTCAGTGAACATTGATGACCGAGTGTAATCAGTTAACATTGGGCCTACAACTCTACATTTATATCAACAGATGATAGATAAAAACTAAAATTTCTAAATTCTTTGTAACCACAAATATTAAAAGAAAAACTGAAATAACTAAATAAGCGTACACCCAATGTTTGAAACAGGGGTTGGTAAGCTAGCCAATTTTGTAATAGGCGAAAAGGAAATGCGATAGCTAGGCCGGGATTCGAACCTGAGACTCTCAGAGCTCTAGACAGATGCTTTACACAATTGAGCTGATGACCATGGTCGCTGACGAGCGACACAGCCTAGTTTTGCTATATGTCCGATTATGAATTGACTTGTTGACACTAATCATACATGATTCTATGTCGTATTGAATGCCCTAAAAGCAAATGTTATTTCATGAATGTCTTATACATGAAATGGCATATAGTACTAATACCAGGTCGTTAATGTTTTCCAACAAGGAATCTTTAGAGGAAGCCTGGTGTGTTTACCTATCTCTAGGTACTTGTTCGTATACTTCAGTTGTTGTAAAGTGCTAAGCACAAACCTTCTTCTACATAACGTCTGCTTAACTGTGAATATAAGATTTTCTTCAACTTCATTAGATACTTTCTTTGGTAGAATAGACGTCGATATGAGGGCTGAAACTATATATCGTATCGTATTTTTATCGTGATACTTTCTTGTGTATCTTATTGAACTGTTTTGTTTGCCTGTATCGCGAAACACTGACAGTATTTGAATTATTAATAAATTTTTAATCAAACTCTATAAAAGTGTACTTATTGTTTGAATCCTTCAGTGAAGATGTGGTTCACTGTGTAGTCATACTTAAAAATACTAGAAAATATACAAACATCTTTTTCGATATCATTTACTATTGAAGTCTACGACATAACTCGATGAAATCCTGCACTCAATCATTATGAATTGGACCTTTTAAGCAGATATTTGTATCGTGATACGTATCGTATTGTAAGCATTGTATCGTGACATGTGCGTGACGTTGCAGCCCTAATCGATATTATTTAGTTCATTCCCGATCATATCCTCTACTTCCGGTTGTGGAATGATATCAGCTAATGCCACTCCAGTACTCCAATTTTTCTTCTTCCTGGCCAGACCAAGTAGCACCCATTGCAGACAAATGATCATGAAACAAAATATGATTCCGTATGTTGCCCGTTTAACCCGGAAGTCCTCTATATCGTACATTGCACATGCTCCTTGACCTTTGCAATTTGAACTCCAAACTTCGCAGCTTGAGTCGACGATCTTACCATACAGAACCGGTGCTGGCAGCCAACCTAGTAGATAGAGGAAATCATTTTAAAAACACTGCGACGTCAAATAGCTCATTGTTTTATAAAAGTATATTCATAATATTATTATCATTTAACAAGTCGGTGAGATAGTATTCCGTCTTTGCGTATTGCAGAGTTATCTTCTCTTGGGAGCAGGTATTGATTGTTACGTCACTTGTTTGTGAGAGTAACGTCACCAATTTTTGAGAAAACGACGTACTTTTCTCACACAGACCAATGACGTAACAATCAACACCTGCTCCCAAGAGAAGATAACTCTGCAATACGCAAAGACGGAATAGTACTTATCCGACGAGATGATACATGTATGGGATAATGTTAATTCCACATAGTATATTTATTATATAAATTTATATCTTATTCCATTAATTATGTTTTCAGCAATAGGTACAGAGAATCGATAAAATTATTGATAACAGTAAATGAACAATGTAATGGCGGACTTAAAATTTGAAGCAAATCACGTCGTCCTAGTCAACAACATCCTTATTGATATTTCCATTAAGCTGTACGAGAAGCGAGAAATCGATTTTCTGATCATTATCTTCCCTTTTTTTGAAAGTAACATTCCTACAACCCTAACCTCTGGTGTTTACATGCTACAGTTGATTTAGAACACGGGAGCTTGCTCCGTATACCGAGACCTTCACAATAGATGTTAACCACTTACGGATAAACTTAGACCACAGGACGCATGTTTGCAAATTATACACGAACAAAACAATGGCGAGATGCCATCAACATCAGCGGAATTCAACCATCCTTATGCGAATTTTAGGCTGATCATTATTTGTACCGATCGAATGTTAGTTTTAGTTGAAAATAATATTTGTAACAGCTGATCAGGAATTGTTTACAAATGTAATACCAGTTCACAAAATAGAAATATCAATATAAAGATTGACCCTTTAATCAATTTTATCATATCCTTATTCCCGAAAAAAACCACAATTCCAAAATTGTATAGAATACTAATTCAATTCATATTCCAAAGTATTAATATTGTGATAAATATATTGGTTTAAGTCACTTAAGCATCTGATCATTTCTTTTTCGGTCATATTATTTGTTTGAAGATATGTAAAGGTTTCAAATACTTTAGATGTATGCATGCAGTTGTTCATACAGACGATGTTCTGATCACGTGTTTGGAGTGACGTTCTACTCTATAAAGACAGTATCACCTATGATAAAGAGGAAGTACCTAGCGTTGCATTAAGGAATGTTTTCAGTCCGAGCGCCAGGGACTTCTGTTTGTCGCGCACTGATCTGTAAAGAAATGAACATTTTACTTCATTCTATCGCCTTACTTTAACAACATATCATTGTAATTACTAACGGGTTTTTACATAAACTTTATTAAGGAACTTTCGTAGATTAATCATTTGCACGCAAGCACATACATGCATTTACATGAATACATACGTAAATGAAAAAAAATAAAAATATGTATAAGATGCAATGTATGTAACCTATATATATATATCTCGTAATAGTTTGAACCAGTAAGAGGAAAAAAGACATATTAAAAAAAGGGTCATATTGATGAAATATTTGAGTCCTTATTACATAACTTTACATTTTCCATTAGTCATTGTTGTCCTGGTTCGAATCTGATGTTGACGAATTTTTGCTACGTAATTTTCACCGAGGTAGTGAACCAAAGATATGCAGAAAATCTTTCTCCTAAAATGAAAACTAAATTATTATTTTTAAATGATACAAGAAATTACCTGATTGTGAAGATAAAAGATGGCATCATACCAAGTGTGCACACGAAGGAGGCAGTCGTTATCATTGAAACAAAACCATACACCATCTTACAACCGGAAGGACACAGGCCAGGGCGGGCTGTTACGTCATATCCGGCACATGTGCAGTTAGTGTAAAGCTATAGGAAGACAATGAAACCACAATTGACAGGTACCAAAACCTTATTCGCTTTATAAATGAAATCGTCTTCGAAACTACTCTTCGAGTGAAATCAATTAAGCTCTTCCTGGTTTAAATAAGTGAAGATACCTTCCTTTCAAAGAAGAGTCGTGCTAAATTAGTGAAGATACCTACTGTATAAAAACTGTTTTACTGTCAAAGAGGAGTTGGTTCAAATAAGGAAAGGTACTTTTCTGGATAATAGCAGTTCATTTCCTTCTCTCAAAAAGACATGTTTCAAATAAGTAAAAGTACTTTTATGCAACAAAGCACTTCAACTATTCTTTTCAAAGAAGAGTTAGTTTAAATATGTGTAGGTATTTTCCTCACCTATTACACCGCGAATCTGATCTTGCTGGATTTATCATGTAACGCTAAAATAAAGCATGGATTTTTCTGATATCATTATCCTTTGCACCATGGCGGAATATGTGACTCAAGAGGTAAATCTTCGAAAAGCAAACAAAGCATGGCAGATTACAAGCATTGATGGAAGAAAAAATAACGAACGATTAATGAGGTATTTTTATTGAAACTTTCCCATAATTCAGGTCATACGTTCAAATACTTGTCGCGTGCAAGATGAACGCAAGACACACACAGGTGATTACCCCTTTACAATTTGGTAAAGGAAACAGCTGCAACTTTATAAATCACAAATGCAAGAGAAGGACTGGTTATATTTCAAAATAAAACCGAGTATGAACCATGCCACTACCCAAAAGAGAATAACGTGGGTTATTCACAGATCACGGTAAACCTTTGGAACCACGCACTCTGCCATTTTGAAACATTGAAAAGTGGAAGTAAGACATACACACGCGATTGCACATATTAAATTTGGAAATAGATTAGGTATGCCAAACATTTCTGAATCTGTGAATCCCCATTAGGTCATCGTTAGATAACTCTTTAAATTCGTATCTTTCTATATTGTTCAATATCTATTTCGATATTTCTATATCGTTTAATGTATGTGTAATGTTATTAAGATAAAACGTATATTTCAGGTAAACGTACCATGTTTTCTCTACCAGTACATCCAGCTTGACATGGAGAAAAGTAGTTCCGGCCGTCCGACCCACATATCGGAAAATAGTCCGTGACGTCACAATAATACTGTGTAACACAAGTTCTGTGTGCTTCCCTAGAAAATAAATAAGTGTGAAGTTTGTGTTTTTCAAATGCATCCAAGGAAATAAACAGTGTCATGAAGTCCCTGATGCATCCCCCTGACTATGATCGTATAGTGTCCTTATTCTAACCCTACAACATACCCAGTCTGTAAAAGTCACAAATATAAAATGTATTTTTATTAGCACTTCTATCTAGCCTCCTTATTTCAAGGTTTATTTGCGAGATACGTGAATTTGTCATAGGCCTTTTCTATGAGATTCCAGCGACATCTACGGTTGTTTCCAATTTCAAAGGGAACACGTTTGCGTCCGGTTGTTTGATACGAATTTCAAATCTGGAAACATTTACTATTCAAATTGCTTCTATTAGGCTTCGTTTGATGTGTTGGGCACTGGTATACTCTTTAAATTGTTTGCTCAAAATACTCTTCTTTAACATTGAAAAACATTACAGAAAAGAAAATTTCGAATTTTTCTTCATGTTATGATGTTATAAAATTTGAAATTTTGTACATGAAATTAGAAAAAAAGATAGTTAAATAAAATGAACATATTGATTTCTAATCGAAGACGTAAAGAATAGAAATTTAAGTCCTTAAAGTTCGTGCAATATTTTCGAGGATATATGCTTAAATATCAGAAACAACTAGAAAAAAAATATCAATTTTGTCATAACTGCATGTATACAGCAACCAATGGTTAACGCTTAAACCTAACTTTTATAAAAAAGGAAAAAGTTGAATATTGATTGGACTTTAATCAATGTATTACCCCGAAACTATATTCTTTCCATGACATTCGAACCTTGGCTACACCTATACGAAACTTACGTACATAGGAATATTGTAGTTGACGATTGGTGGGTTTGAACAGCAAATAAAATAATCGGTGAACGTGATGACCGTGAACAACACCTTTATAACCATGAGACAGTTGAGGCAGGTCAAAAGTAAAAACTTGAACTTTGAAACTACACATCCTCCAATCAACGAGCCAAGGCCAGCAGAAACCATTATCAGTAGCCCTATAATCAATACCGATAAAGACGTAAACATTACTATATAATCTGTATTTAACGTAGTGTACATAGTCACTACAGAGCTTTTATTACGACGTCACTAAGGGAACAAAGTTATTTTTGTGATGAAGGAAAGTCCTCGGCGGAAACCCAGCGAGCCATCGGAGGGATAACAACTAACCCTATCAGATATCACTCTCTTTTCCCGCAACCGCTGGAGATTTTTGGGAGAATTAGTGGTCTGAAGCTCACGCTTGATTGCACACAGTAGCAATTACTGTGTTAACGATCAAGGCTACCGAAGCATCCAAAAACAGTAATACAATTGCCTGCTTTAATGTAATACCAAAAGATCCCAGATAAATCTTTATCAGTTTGATGATTTCTCTTCTTTTCTCTTATCTGTTTCATTGAGTAATGCCTAACAGTAAATGCATTTTTAGGTAACTTTTGATCCAAACCTAATGCTGCTGTGTATAAAAGACAACCTTCGAAGTGAGTTTATCGTTTCACAAATTTATTAGTACAGTACTTAATGTGAAAGAAATAGAACTGATCATTGCAATATGAGAACGAACTCTTAATTTGTTTTTCGGTCATCTTGTTTTCTTATGACTCACAAAATAAACATGAACAACTAGGGATCACGGGGAACCCACATATCAAATTTGAGACAGATCCCTGAAGTACTTCCTGAGAAATAGCATTAACAAACCTTCAATGTAAAAATCCATGCCATTAAATCTGTCAGGGATGTATCGATGAACCTAGACAGTTGTCAATAGTGTTGAACTTCAAATATTTACGCTATTAGCTCAAAAGCTTAGTTATAACATATAGTAAATGATTTAGTTGTGTGATTCCTCGAATGAAATCCGGATATGATGAGTTTTTTCCTTAATAAAACATACCAATCATCATGTTAGCTTGCCAAGCCGGAAGTGAAAATTGCGTCTCCATATATTTTGGTAAAAATGAAATGGATGCCGAGATTGCAAACAGATCTAAAACTCCACAAACAACATTGAGCATGTACACGGGATTCCGAATAAGCTGATAAATTTCTCGTGCAAAATCTGAAACAAACAAGACATGACAACAAATAATTAAAGAGGACGCTTTGATGAGGAAATGTTATTATTTTGCTTTCCAATATATATCTTTATAATGTTTAAGAGTAAGATTGAAAAGAAAAAGGAAAAACTTGATGGATTCATTCGAGGTGTGACAAATCGGGTCTACTGAGTCTATAAATAGATAAAGAACATGAAAAGATACAGTTTTTTTTTTTTTTTTAAAGTTCCAGTGTATGGGATAAAAGTATTTCCAGGGCCAATACTTAGTTTAAAGTCTCTTGTATTGTATAGTTTGGTTTGGTTTTATTTTGTTTAACGTCCTATTAACAGCTAAGGTCATTTAAGGACGGCCTCCCCTGTGTGCAAGATGCATGCGTGTAGTGTATGTGTGTGTATTTTTGGAGGCTGCGATATGTTCGTGTTTGATCTGATGACGACCTTATATTGCTACCTCACTGAAACATACTGCCAAATACAACCAGCAGGACGCCCCACCCGGTCACATTATACTGACAACGGGCGAACCAGTCGCCCTACTCCTAATTTGCTGAGCGTTGAGCAGGAGTAGAAACTACCATGTTTAAAGACTTTGATATGTCTCGGCCAGAGGACAGAACCCAAAGCCTTCCTCACACTGCAATGGTAAAGTCGCTCTCAATAGTCCAAAGGACAAGCAACGTAGGTTATACGCGATATACAACGAACAATACTGAACTGATGGTGATTCGAGAATCAAATTTAAGCAGCATCTAATTGATTGATATCCCTCATGACTTGAGAGAATTCGTCGGACGGTCGTGGATCGGAAATGGTCAATTCTTTCGACAAGAGATGAATTGTAAATTTCATTCGTGTTGACAATTAGTCAGTGGCTTGACAAACTTGCCTCGTCGTCTGTTGTTCAATTTCCTAACCTCGTGATATGTATTGACGCCAGCCATTCTTATTGGCATGCGCATTTCAAAGTGACGGCAATTGTGTCGTATTCCAACTACCGCAATAACGTTTGGCTTATGCATGTATGTATGCTATAGATAAGGCATGTTTGTGATATATCAATTATATACGTTTGTGGAGGCAAATATGTGGTTACATAAACCCGTGAAAGAAAAATTAACCGAGAAGTCGTCGATGGTGTGATATTGAGTGAGACGACGTCGAGGTGGTCAATATCACATTCTCTGATCCATATATGTCAGTTAAAAATGACAGCATTAGAATGGCATAGAAAAGTTTGAAAATTAAATAACTCGTTGCATCTAAATAAAAGAATAGGATTTATAACTGCCTTTCCCCATACGGTACTTCTAGTTTTGTTTGTTTCATTATTTTTATTTCATTTTCAGATTATGATGCTCATAGGGGCGAACGCTCAACAAATGGCCAAAAGTGAGGCATTGTCAAGGGAGACATTAGGAAGAAGAAAGTTATTTAGAAAGGACAGAAGAGATAAGGTCTTGTATTGTTGCTGTCGTTGAATACCAAGTAAAATATAAGCTTCCAATTTGTGTACATTGATTAATAAGCACTGTTAATTAGCTATATGCATATTGATTATGATATTGGGAAAATGGAGTTCCAGTGTCATTGTTATATGACGGTCTTTATCAATTACGTTGGACAATACAGAACAAACTGACCATATGCCGAAAAACATAAAATTATTGTTGTGTGTCCAAAAATCTTACCGTAACCTATGGAAACAGGTGCCTTGGAAGGGTTTCGGCCACGTTGTTGTGAATAGCTGATCATCTGCTATAAGAAAGTCAAAAACTCTGGCCAAATTCAAGAATGTAAAGACCCACCCCTTTAGGTCTACATTTTGTTCTCATCACAAACGTCATGTACACACCATTCTATATCTACTATATTTTTAACTGCCGCTGTAGGAGCACTGTTATCCATGTGTTGTAAAGCGCCTTAAAAGAATTTTACAAAATATATAGTCCTCTATATAAATGTTGTATTCTATTATTGTTATTATTAAAGTACATAAAAAGGTTTGATACCAGCTGTTACCGAAGACAACATGGAACGAAACAGGAAAGCCTCGGACGGAACAACCAGAACCTTTTGGAAGTGTCACTCACGAAATATCTTTATTAAGCTGTCCGAATCGTTGTATTTCGAGATGCTTATTGACATAAAACGATTACAACAGGGAAGAAATAGATTCAATGTGTATTGAATTTATAATTGTCTTTTGTTCATTAAGGGGTATAATTAATGTAAGTATCATAAAATAGCTTTTTCGAAATTTTTGCCAATATGACCGACGTTGGCCTATGAAATCTGCTAATTAATATTAAAAAAAACACCTATGGTACGCCTCAATATGAGACATCAAATTGGAAATGTGTAATATCAAAGTTTAACTTCATACACAAACAATGTACGTATTAAATGTTTCGCAACGTTTAGTCACCGGCAAGTTCCTTTGTCAAGCTAGACTCAAGACATTTAATAATTTTGATTGCAATACTACTGACACTGGTTTTCGTCAAAGTCAATATAAAGATAATATATTTACATTGGCATGGCATTGTCACTATCGCCTCTTTGAAAGCTATGTCGTTGATGGGACTTTAATTACCATGCAGCACGAGACACAATTCTTAGCGTATTAATACAACACTGACCGGAACTACAATATCCAATGTAAATAAACATGACGGCTGCTGAAATATCGCTGGGCATTGTGAGACTTGACAATGTCATTGTAAATATATGTGCAACATAAAATAAAAAATACTTTTATTACATCAAAAACAAGACCAATGTCTGCGATCGTACAAAATGCAAATCGGTTGAATTCACCAATGCCGGCAATGGAAACAATTTTAACGCTCATGCAATTCAGAAATATCGTCTGTTACACTGCACAACAGGGGTTCGTTACAAATGTCTGA